GTTACAGAATTACAGTTAAGATACTAAAAACCGAGTGGAAAATAGTTCCGCAAAAAAAAAAAGCAGTAAATTAGGTCCAAGCCAGTTGAAAATGCGAAACTTTAATTAACGATAAACCCGCCTGAGGTATACGGTCGTCATGGATAATATGACAGCTAGTACGCCAGGAACCAAACGAAAGAATGGCGTCTTCCTGGGAAAAATCGACTTCGACGGCATCGCCAAGTAGACTCGATGATCATGATGGTAGTATTTGTAACGGCATCTGTTCCTACGAAATGCTCGTTGAAAACAAAACAATGACTGCAGTCGGCTATTTTATATTCCTCAAGAGACTCATTGACAGATCGCACGGCAGTCTGGTTGCTCGATAAGAACGTCAGACATGATTGCCATGCCTCAGTTACTTCCTGCATTGAGAGAAGGAACATTTAGCGTTGGTTTCAACCCGCCGCTTCTTCTGATCAAGGTCCGCGTCACTGCAGGATTTTCCATGCCCTAAAAAGGACAACTGGGGTGCAAGCATACTCCACTATCCATTTATTTCGAGAAACCATGGATGAAAGGAATGCACGTGAGAATACGAATGATATGAATGATATGTCTATTCAAAAGCTACCGGGGCAAGTGTGTAAAAAAATTAGGGAGAATAACTCTAGCGCAGAAAAAATCGTTCTATCTTTCCCGGCTCAAGAGTTACTTAATTTCAAAGTCTATCATGAAAATAGTGAGCGATAATTAAAATGTTGACTCTGCTATTAAGGCTAACATATTCACAACTAATAATTGTTAATAATCTATGTTGTCGTTTAGCGTTAAAAAACAACCAAATTTAGGCTACAGCTCATTGTAACATTTTCTAGTAGTAACTGGTGTCCACTTTAATCTCGTTCGATCCACCGCTAGTGATTCACCAGCCTCAAAGTTTGACGTCCTTTACTAGGACTTGCCGTCAGGTAGGCCACAACTATAAGACCAGCTTTACTCATGGCTGGAGTTATCGTAGATCTACGCAGTTTTCGGAGTGCAAGTTCGCTTGAAAAGGTATCAACCGGAGCATGGGGCAGCTGTAAGAAAGCATAACCTGGAGTCTGTTGTTTCTAGATATTTTATGGTCTTCCTCGTAAGGGTTCGTTATAACCCGCAAGTAAGGTGAAAGCTGACTAGAAAATTTCAACCAAAAGGCCATAAGCAAATATTAAAATCGTCCAAAAATATCTAAGTTGGTCCTTTGCCGAGGCCACGAGTTCACACTGCCGCGGGCTATGGAGCCTACATTGGGTTGAAGAGGCCATCAGCAAACCAGCCGGCAATTCTCGTTTTATATAGGCCTAACAATACTCGAGAGATATTTTGGCAACCAGGCAAGTGTAAGGCAGCGCATACTGCCAGCCACAAAGCAGCAATATTTACGAAACGGGAAATAACAATCAAATTCCAGCTCAAACATGTAAAGTGGGGCTGTGCTTGGTCGTATGTTCTATTAGTATCAGTTGACCCAGATTTTGGCAAAGTAATGTGGTGCGCTATCCAGCATTGACTACCTATTAAAATGAAGGGACAAATTAAAAGGAACTGAACTGTGGTGGATTTTAAAAAAGTGGGCTTTAGATCTGATAAAGGGAATAGTTAACGGACTTGTATTTATTAAAAAAACATATGACTCGATAGAACACAAATCCTAACGGCATCATTTTTCATAACAACAAAAACTCTACAGATACTTGATGCTCAAGGGTAAGTGTTGTAAAGCAAGGCTAATTTTTAAAGCCTAAAGTAATTTTTATTAAAATGAATGGATGAGTTTCATCGTTCTTGGAAAGGATTGTTTTTATAACTGGACAGAAAATAACAGAGCTAGGGAAGACCAACGTCTAATTAGAACGCACAACTGGACGGCATTCTATGTAATGGCAATTCGGAAAGAAGAGACGATTAATCACACAGCAAGGAAGGATCGACGATTTGGGAAACCCACAAGTGGAATATGCACACTGTTCAGTTTTATTGTATCAATAGGCATATTTTATGGTGCACATGTATATATTGGATTTTTGAAAAAGTACTGGCCATTTTTCTAGCTAGAGGGTTTTAGAGTCATATTTAAGTGACGTCGGGTTAGCATTGGTATCATTGGGAAGGTGGGATCTAGCAACAACAGGTGCACTAAAACTGTTAGAATTCCTGTATTCAGACTAAAGATAGAGCGCCTTGAGGATGAGCCAAATTTATGAAGAAAATTACCATACCTTACGATTTTATTATAATATAGACACAATAGCTGCCCAAATTTACAGAAAGTTCTGCTTTTCATGGTTACGATGCGATATATCTAAGGTGGATACACCCAAATATCGGTGTAAAAAACACTCCTTGTAGCGGCGGACCAATTATGGAAGAAGTTAATGAAATCATTGCGAAGATTGAACAAGGGCGATACATAAGTGGTCATGATATGGGCAAGGAACTAGGCATCGGGGCATTTCTAAAGTGATTGATCACGGGTGATGAAAAGTGAATCACACACGATAAGAATGGGCAAATACGAAAAAAAAAATCAAAAATCAATTCCAATATTTGTGGCAAAGACCAGCCCGACATCAAAGAAGGTGACACAATGTCTTTTGTGTTATTTCAAAGAAATCGTACATGATGGGTTACTGCCGCCTGACAAAACATTTGATTTCAATCTCTACTGCCAACAACCCATTAAGGACAATTGAAAATAATAAGCCTTGTCTTCCATCACGAAAATGTCAAACCACATGCATCCTTGGCTAACTGGCAAGGCCTGACAGAAATTGGAATAGGCGCTATAGGGCACTCGCCGCATAGCGCGGAATTTGCACTAGAGGACTGTCTATCACCCGCTTCAGTCTCTATAGGGCTGTTCTAATGTAACCATAGAAAAAATATTTCCTTTAATTTTTACTTGAAAGCGGTCAATATTTTTAACACCCCAATGTATCAGACTCGTTCGCAATAGAACAGAGTTCATCTGCTCTACTTGCCATCTAAAACACATAATAGTTCACAGTCGCTGCTAGGGTTTACAGCCGTAAAGTGTTAAAGCAATTTCCAAAGTTTTTTTTTTTGCTTTACAGCACAAACATTGAGTTGTAAGCACATGCACATCTTGTAAGCGAAAATAAAATTAACTCTTCTTAGGAAAGCTATAAAGCAGCTGTAAGCAATAATTTTCTTGGTAAGAACCCTCTACTGTGACAGATCCAGAGGGTACTAAATACGCGTTAGAAGCAAATACTTCTATAGAAACGCATGTCTGTTCGTTGGCAATACAGCATATTTATGGAATAACATTTTAGTTTTTTAAGCGGTAAGGAATTGACTATTGCCAATTCAAGAGGACCTAAGTCAAATTGCTCTCAGACCAGCCTTATCTACCTGAACCGGTGGGCGTTGCGAAGCATTTTTTTTTCTGCGTAAAGAAATAAGGAATTATCTGTCAGTTCTAAAGGTAAAATCACCCGCGTAGTCTACCACAGCACGTGACGGTTTACTCATTTCTACGTTATCGGGTTGTCTCTAGACGTACACAGCGATAGATTTACTAATGTACGAGCAAACAAGGAAAGAGATAACAGGATGTTGGCCATAAGGGTTATCTTCAAGCACTAAAAGGAAGAATGTTGCGTCTGGTTTATAACATACCTGCTACACCCAGAGCGGCACAAGCGAAGAGTATGTGAAGGCAGGGGGTGTCGGATGGCGTCTGTTGGACCGAAAAGGGAGGAAAGGAGAGTTGCTTTTTTGGATTTCCCTAGGTTTAGAAAGGCTGAGAGCCAGAAGGAGTTTCCTGCTTTCCCGCTCACATCTCGGCAAGTGTACTTACTCATAAGAACGGAATCTGTCCGTATAGTTAAGCTTGGCCAACGGCAACATCGACGACAGGTCGTAGGCCACGTCGATCACGGCGATTAAGACTTGCTCTTGCCCTGCGGACATGTCTTCGAAGACTTGCTACTAAGCTGATTTCTGCTTTTTGCTTTATACTAACCCAATAGCACCCAACCGTCACGTTATCATAGCAACCAAAGCTTAATACAGGCTCGAAGACGATCTTGCGAACGGCTGCCAACAGAGTTCTTCCAGGATGTACTACAATAATACCTGCACACATACTTCTCAGAAACTTGTTACGCAACTGAATTAAACATAAACCGGTAAACTAGTAATAGAACATGAACGAATGCATAGTATAATCTATCAGCCGTTCAATGTAAACCTTAATATGTGTAACAATTTACCGCATCATCTACCGAGTTTTAGCAAAGTTTACTCTTCATTGGGAACACAACCGTTGTAACACTTCAGTAATTGAGAGTCGTTAATTTTGTAAGAAGTTAAGAAGCCACTGACGATCATCTTAAACACACTGCAAAATGTATATTAACTTTATGTTAATATCTGCACACCTAAACTAGAAAATATTACGTACGTTTACAACTGTAAATATTTATATACGTTGTGCCATTCTACTATAAACAGAACATAACCGAATCAGAGGACTACGTGACCACACTTCAGCAGTTACTTTTCGAAATTATTTCTCAACGGGTCTTCAGAGTAATCTATGGCGCAGAGACTTTCGAATTACTTCTCAGCCTTGTTTCGTTTTTGCTATCACGAGATGTTTGTTAACGTACATAGTATTATGATGATGATGATTGAATTTTATCTAGCCACTGAATCATCAATTGTACATACTACATGTACGTATCTATCTACATCTATTTACTTGTCATAAAAAAAAACGAACATTAAAGTATCCACTTGGCGTCTGTGAACGAACTGGAGACCATACGTTCAGTCAAAACAAGCAAGCAGCTACCCCGTGCTCAAAATATGATGCAGCCTTAACGCGTTTGTATTTGAGAAAGACCTTATAGATGTTCGTTAGAACAATGAGATGCTCCTATTTCTACGCTGATCAAAACGTAATTACTCGTGAACAAAAAAATGAGGACAGGTGGTTCTTGCGGAAGTGCAGTGCAGAATAAACTAGTGGACTCTTGTCGACCAACTGTTAAAGATTTCAGTTACTAGGGTAAGTTAAGCAGCATCAAACGTTTACTGTACTACACTACTATACTAAAATAGCCCATGTTTCTGTTGAGGTCTTGCTTTTCACAAAGCTATATTTTCGTCAAAGTTATATTTTACGATCGGCTTTTAGTCCGCTTTAGAAAATGCGGCTCTGCAATAGATAAAACTGAGGTAGAAAAAAACTTAGGTATTCTTTATCAGCCGTGAAAATTAATAAAATAGTTAGATGGTCCAGGTGTCCCCGCTTTGAAATTGGGTTGAGAAAAAAAATCCTGTGACCTGAGTTGTACCGAATGACATGACACGCACAAGTGCTCGAAATGCTAACAGTTAGGTAGTCTTCGTTTTTGAAGTCCACGTAATTGCGTTTATGTAATCGCTAACGCGTTTCATTGTTAAATTAAAATTATGATATTTATTTTATGACAAGTTCTTATACATACCCGTCTGACTTTTGAAGCAACCAATTACCTTTCGAGTTGCGCTGATTGCAGCGCGCACACTTACTGACTTAGACTTCGTAGAACTGGTTTCCTTTGCATCATACGCCGACATATCGAGAGCATATGACTTGTTCTAACTCGGCTCCCGCATGTTGGACGTCAAAGGTTTAAGTATCAGTACTAACTACGGCTCTAAGGGCTTATGCCTGAAAAATTTACGTCTAACTTGTCAAGGCTGTTGATTGTTGATTGGTTCTTCCTGAGGAACTGCAGTAGTTTTCCTACATTGTTGTGCCTCTTATATTGGCAGCCTTTGCAGCTATGGAGATACTTTCGAACCTGAGCCCTGATGCTTTACTTTGAAAAATGCCACTCCACCAATTTGCGTACCGTTTTGTCTACATCTGGGTGATTCCGATGGCAGACTCAGAATACCACGGCCTCGGCTAACCTTGTTAGCAGTGCTCGCTACTCCCTCGGAGTGGCACTGCATAGTGTATCTTTGCTCAGGATGAATCCTTTCGCTTGGTTCGCAGCACTCTTAGTATAGGCGCCCATCGGGGATTGTATAGTTGATAGATCGCGGCCGACATCGTAAAGTAGGCACTTTTAATAGAGGACAAGCAGGTTGGCGAATTCGCGTGGAGAGTGTCCCAGTATCGTCTCACATTGGCAGGCCACAAAACTAAAGTCTGACATTTTCCTCTAAACGGGTTTAACAGACGGGCGCTCTTCGTTTATCTGCCCTCTATCGGAACAACGACAGAAACCAGTGGTTGCTTTTTGATGGGAGTGTTTTGCCCACGGGACGTAAAGTTGATTCGGCCCATAACTCTGAGCTATTCGAACCCTTGCTGGTGCGATGAAATTAGCTAAAGTTGTTGATTTAGCGGTTGTGGGGTCGTTAACTCGAAAGACGAGCTTGACTCTCGCAGCTTGTCAGTAAGTCCCCTTGGACCACTCGAACCGTCGGAGTACCACTCCGTTTTTTTAGTGGTCAAAGAAAAGTTCAAAAGACCTGGCTTTCACCGGAGCAGAACGATCAACCGTTTAGCGCAATTACGGCTTCAATACGAAGCTTGAAATATTCACCGATCATTTTCAAATAACTCCTTGATTAACCCGCAAATAACTTTTTAATAGAAACTGTGTATCACGTAATGTTGACAGTTGTAAATTTGCCGGAGCGTCGCTTGAGTAAGATTAATAGAAGAATTTCGGGCGGAAATAAATTTACGACTGATAACAGACCAAAAGTCCTAAGAATGTAAAACTCCAAAACAAACAAAAGAAATCCAAGAAGTGTAAAAAATCTTAAAAAGACAAATTGCTAGTGTTTACCTGGACGATCGTATTGAAAATTGATACTCTACTGTTCAAAAAGGTCGATAATTTCTGTACAAAAAATCCAAGCATATAAAAGCTAACTCTTGAGCTATTTCGAACAAAAAAGGAAAGTTTTACCTTCGTAGAAGTTAATCCATCACAGAAAAATTGAGTAATTATTGATGTTTGCTCTGATTCCTTTACGATGCACTTTCTTTCGCCATAACGATCTTGCTATTTTCTTTAAAAAGGAACTGGCTCCTTTTCCTGGTACCAGGAGCCGCTATTCCTAGTATGATTGCATGCCCGACAAAGAGCCCAGGGAAGTTTGTCCGAAGGCGAGCGTTGCATTCAGTGTACATACTAAGGGCATTGTATTCTCGTATCCACCGTTCGTTATTATACATCATGTGACATGCATTGTCAAGTACATGTAGTTGAAAAAACTGTGACCGGCTAATTATCGCATTACCATGGTTCACCGGTAAGACTAAACGATATCGCTAACAGGTACGTTGGAACCATGTCTTCTTTCCTGGACACTGACCATCGAGAACCGCGTTAGTGGCACAGGCTTCTGGACTGCCCAGTTGGCTGTATTGCCACATATTATTATTATCGTTACGAACTACTTCTTAAAAAGCGTAACTTCTAAATATGTCAATACTCGGGTCATTCAATGTAATTTCACAAAACTTTCAAGCACAAACCTCAGCAAAACTTATTGGGACTACACAGGTCTTCTTTTAACAGCTAACTAGCTTCGTTGGAAATGAACGAAAACCATCAGCAATTATTTTGTTAGAGGATAAACATTTTTTTTTTAATAAAAGTTTCTTAGATGATTGACATGTTCGCAAGGAATCATTAGCCTTTGACCTCGTATGAGTCCACCTGTGAAACTATACATACAAATAACATAAATATCTTTTATTGATATTTCTAAAAGGTGGACAAATACACGTAAGCCGCTGATGACCTACAAGACAGGAGGGTCTTTGGTCAAAAAATTTAAAATAACTATTATTTTTTAAAAAATAATAGTTGTTTTAAATGGCTGCGCCAAATAAATATTAGCTATTAGACACTCATCATCACCACTACCACCACTGTTTACACGAATATAAATGGTTTTCAATTCTCGTTGAGCTTTCTTATGATATGTATGTATACGTAAGTGACAACGTTACAATGTGTAGTATGTACGAAGCAAGAAATATTATAAAATCTATAATAGTTCCCCAAAAGTAGGCAGACGACGTAATCTAAGTCCTTAAGGGCTCGGCGGTATTTTTTCTTATTTTATACATATATATATATATATAATTAAATTATTTTTTAAGTTAAAAAACATTTAATTATTTATGTTTAAACTTCATTACTAACGATGGACATTATTTGTCCTAATTTAAAGTAGCCCAAATGATATTTTAGTTAGTTGTCTTTAGAGGGGCATTCGGTACGTAATGATTTTCGATTCCTCCAACGCACTTTTTAATGTATTGCGCATTGAGACGGACGCACATCTATTTATTGTTGCTAGCCTGTATTACGGTTCCATAGAGTTTGAACGTTCCATTTGTACTTAGCGTTTAATCTGTATCGAACTTTGACGTTCCTAACACATTGCGCCACCATTACTGTAACTTAAGGCATTGCTAAGATAGCGGTCGATTTTATACAGGTTTCCTGAGTGATACTAATGCATTAATGTAGCTTCTCCACTTTGCCACTAACAGCCCATGCCCACACGAAAATAGTGGACCGCTGACTAATGGTTTGTTCGGTGCCCATCTAGAAATTCGTGTCGGCCCTACGCTCAGGTATTCCGTTGCTTTGGTAAAACCTCCGTTTTGGCCGATGTATTCTTTTCCAGATAACCCTATATGTTGCATTATATTCTTTAAAGACGCTGTCTTTTGTTCGGTTTGTTTTTACCCGAGTAGGGTTAGTATCCGAAGACTACATCTTGACCGAAACCCTTAGCTTCCTCCCTTCGACAATGCCTCACAGCACAGAAATCCACTATACTAACGGTAGCGTTCAACGCTATTTTCGAAATGTTAATTATAGACTGTTTTGACTTTCTGAGATGCTGCACGTAGAGGTTAATTCTTTTTTTTTTTTTCAAACTAAATATTCACAAAACTTTGCATGACTACCGTTGCAAGAGGAAAATGGCTTTAGAGAGCGCTGCCTGCACAGCCGGCACATGACCCTTTCTTTTTTGGTGTATATATGCACAGAGGACTGAATTCTACTGTATTCTAAAGTTTCTGTAGTGACAATTAGGCCGTCCAAATTGTTTTATAAAAGATCCACTTCGCAATTTATTTGTCGTTGGCTGGTTGTACACACCTCGATTTTCCAAACTGTCGTTTAGCATCTTTTTTTCACTATTGCATTCGATCCCCAAAGGTCGAGGTGTCGGCTTTTACTAGGCACAGATCACCTATGACGGACGCGGAAAAGGACGCGTACAGACGTTCTCTAGAACCGCTTCTCCCGTACAGCAGCAGTCGTGAAAAATGGGTGACTGAAAAATCTTTTAGGTGTGGTTCGCCACGTCAGTATATAATTAGTGTAAATATGCAATGAGTCAAGATACTTGATAGGTAACATTCGAGACGTAGTACACAAAGTTGTTTTGCAACTGCCTACTGAAAATACAAATGCAAACATAGGATCAAGAAGTCATCTAATTTGGTACTGTGTCAGAAGATATGGCTAGAATGTGGTTTCAAAATACTAAAACATGTCATTACTTTTACTAATAAAGATGAACCAAGAAGTTTGCCAAAGGAATACGATACCGTATGCTGCATTTCGTTAGAATCTGGAAGGCAACACATTGGCCAAACGGGGGAATAATTGAAAAAAAAAAAAAAAAAAAAAAAAACTGAACATAAATCCAACATGGGGAAACAGGTAAATAAAATTACCCTAAATCGTTGTAAGCCCTGCAAAGGTTATACGCATTTAGCCGTCACAAGAAACACTTTTGATAACGCGTCCGGGTATAATAGACAGACAGACTCTTGCGGATTGTCGAGCATATATATAAACGAATTAAACCATAAGCTAGCTCTTCTAAATGCCATGTAAAAAAGCTAGACAAGTATTCCACCGTTTCCAAATGTGGCACATGGCTGGCTCAAAAAATGTAATGATGTGTATGGAATGCGCTGAAAAAATATAACAGCTTGCGAATGTCAGGGTTTTCTAATTCTAA